GAAGGTGTTCTCATGGGAAGGTCGGGAGAAAGACTTTTCTGCATGGCTGAGGTAGGATTCTCCTGACTCAATTTCCCTACTATGACACCTGGCAGACTTTAAACCTGGCTCAATGCAGTTGGTTATTATAACTTCTGCCTGGAGTTGACATGAATCTAGGGAAGCATTGTTCCCTTACTTTAGTTATGTTCTTTTATGGCAAATTCCTATATTCATAAATTTGTAAGCATGAATACCTAATCTATTAAGCAATAGATTGATGCAGGAACATCTGAGGTTATTATAGTAAGATACAAAAGATTGAGTTATTTGGCCTAGAATTTCAGAATTAAGTATATTCCTGTATAAGTCAGGATCCCTTAATTTCTCATAATGGTTATGATGAGGTCTGGAGGTTTGGGGGTGCTGGGACTCCAAGGTCACAGCACAAGGGTCCCTCCTGAAGAAGTTCAGCCCAGGTCTTTTCAGCCGGGGGGAAGTTTGTTGGAAATAAACATATAGGCCAGGTGATGCCCATAAGGAAGAGTGGGCATGAGAAAGTCTCTGGATCTTACATACACTAAAGTAACTTTGACCAGAGAAGAGGCTGAGAAAGGGGTCTAGGAGAGAATTCTGATTGGAATATCTAAGAGATTGAATAGACAATGGGAATATATAATGAAGGGAACTGGAAGAAGTTTGAAAGGCATCTGAATAAGATCAAAAAGTGGGGTCAGGGCTTTCAAAGGAAGATGGAGAGCTAGGGCCCTTAGACAAATGAGAACCACATTCTTTCTGAGGCAAGGGGCAGGGGTCCACTTGGACCTTACCCCATCATTAGGGGATAATTAGGCCAGGAGATTGTGGAAGAAGGATATTATTCTGTTACTTAGTTAATACTTAGTTAATGTTAAAGTTATCTCAGTTTTGTTACAATTAATGTTAAAAGAGGAATAGCTTATGGCTTATCTTGTAAATGCCTTAAAGAAGCCTATTTTAATAAGGATTATTTATTGTGCATGACTAGAAGTTGGGATTGTTTTGGTATTTGATTTGTACTGGTTTTAAATTAACTACTATGTATTGGAATGTGGTATTAATTCCTTAGTGGAATCTCATCCTCCTGATGAGGAATATGAATAGGAATGAATAATGAACTAATGTAAGGTATAAAACTAGAAGTAATGCAGAGTGTAAGACTAGGTTCTAATTTTTTCATTTGAGCATCCTGAAACATGACAATTGGACAAAGTTCCAATTTTGATCTGGTAATGGTAAAGACCTAGGGGTTGAGTTAATTTTCGTTATTTGCCCTGGTTATTGGCAAGGTAATTTAAAATTGTGTTGAGATCAATCTTGTAGGAGAGTGGCTACAAGAAGGAGGATCTCTGCAGGAGGAGAGTGAGAGTCTGCTGGATGCTGTTTGAACAGCACTTAGACAAGAAGACTTCACCAGATGATGCCCAGAGTGTCAGACAGCAGTATGAGAAGAGACTTCTGAAGCTTTAAATGGACAATTTATCATTACCTTTGGGCCTCTGTATCTGTAAGGTGTAATGTTTGTGAGGAGGCTTCAAATTGTAAGAAATGAGAAGGGGGAATTGCGAGAGATGAACTCTCAAAAGTGAAGCCTCCTCAAAAAGTCAATAATTCTTGATTATTACTTTCAAAATCCTCTCCCACTCAGACCCTGTTTTTAAGCACTTTTAACAGAAAGAATAAGCCCTGCCCCATCCCCAACCTGAGCCGTTTGCCCTTGGCTTCTGGCCTCTTTCCTTGTCTTTGAATTTTGTACCTGGAATGTAAGCCCCACCTCCCAGTTAAGGGGATAGGAAGAAACTTCCCAGTTTAGAATGTAAGCCTCACCTCCCAATTAGAATGTAAGCCCACCCCCAGTTAAGGGAGTAAGGGATAGTGGTGGGTGGAGACTTGTTTGCATGGTGGGTGGAGATTTGCTTTTATAAGGCTGCCCTGTTAAGCGGTCTCTCTCTCCATGTGTATGATGGAGCAGACAGCCATCTCTGGAGATTGTAATAAAGGTAGTAACCTTTGCTTTCCACCTTGAGAAATCTCAAGTTTAATTTGGGTTAGGGTCGCTGTCGCACACATAAGGAACCTTGGTTAAGATAATCAGCGTGCAAGTACGCTTTAAAAAACCACAAAGGCACTCATGAGGCAAGTTTTTAGAATGTAAACACAGGAAGAAAAGAATGTTATAACATCCTTGAAATGTTTCCACTGTTAATTACTAGACTTTCCCCACTTGATAGACATATACTCCCCTCCCCCCAATCGCATAAAAGTGCCTGTCTCTGCCATGTATAATAGGAACAGAGCTCAGAGCAATCTGTTCCTCTTGATTTAACAAATAATATCTCTTCTGGCTTAAATAACTGAGCTGGATCTGGTTCTGACAAACATTATAATAGTAAATACTCAAAACATCTAAATGTCCAACGGTTGAGGGATGGCTAAACAAATTGTGGTAAATGTAGTAAAATGCCAGAATACCATTAAGAATTACAAATATGAGGCATATAATGAGGAAGATCTGTATAAAATTATGCAAACTGAAGAAAGAACAAGTATGCTGTCATACCTGTGAATGTACAATCACAGGAATCAGAGTGAGGATTTAGGTAAGGTAGTAATAAATTATGCTTACTTGCATATTGGAGTATTTTTCTTTGTGAACACATTTGCAGTGTTTTGTTTTTACTGTAAAATTCATAGGAAAAAAAGGGTACACTCCAAACATCTCTAATTTCTTTTAACTAAATCATGAATTTATCTGAACATAGTTTAATCTTTTTTTATGCCTTACACTATTACTTAGGCATATGAACTGGATACTTGCTCTGTAATGTATCATTTATTTGTCCAACAACTGTTCTTACAATTTTTAAAAACACTTTTCGACTCTGGTAATTCAGTCCCAATTAAGCATTTACTATGCATAAGACACTGTCCTATGCACTGGAAGTTGATGAACAATCTTATCCTATTTATGCCCTTCATGGTTTTGCACATTTTAATTCTATAAGCTTTTCTAGAGTTGAAAAATCTTGCTTAAAACGGATGTTTTCAAGGCCAAGTTACAACTGTGAGCCAAATTATTCTGATGTCAAACATGTCAAATTTTAAAAAATTATTTTCAGTTCCAAATTCTCTCCCTCCCTCCAATACATTCCTCTAGTCACCCGTTGAAAAGGCAAGAAATGATACTCATTATATATACATGAAGTCATGCAAACCTGTCTATTTTAAAAACTAAACAACCTTAAGATAAAAACATCTACCTTCAATGATTAACCAGAATAGCATTAAGAAAGGATAGTTCCAAGAACTTCAGACACATTAATAATAATGTAATATTCAATTGTCCTCTAAAAAAACGTTCAAAATTAATTCTGAGCTTGAAACAAAACAAACCATTTTATGTTGTGTAGCCTAACTGAATCAATTACCAGAGTCGGTAACAAGCACGGTACTTGACCTTATAACACAGTGGATAACAAGGTTATTTGAATTAAGACATTCTGAGATTTCGAATAGCAATTCGGAAATGCCACTCTCCCCCAAAGGACGGTCCTAAAATAGAATGTGTTTTTTCCAAAGTGTATAGGTATTGTTTCTTCAGAAACTCCTCTCCCATATTCCTGGGGATTCTACACTCCATCGGTCTAGGACCTCTCGCCCTCTAGTTGCAATCATTTAAATTTCTAAAACAGAAAACTGCCTCCTCCCCTCTCCTTAAAAAATAAATATCTGTAGCGCAGCTCTCCCTGAAAAATACCGAAGAATGGCTTCTCTCATCCTTACTCAAATCCTCAGGGCAGAGTTCTCCCAGGGCCCCGGGGCCAAGAACTTCATCTGCTAAGTAACACATCTACCGTCTCTGTCTCTTGGCGACCAACAGAGGAGCCGCGGAGATCCTGGAGGCAGGCAAGGAAGGAGGGAGAGGGTCGCTCCCCACCGCGGCAAGGCAAAAGGACTCGATTCAGGGAAGGCGGCAGGGAGAACGAAGGGATCTCCAGATGGAGTCACTGTCTTTCTTTTTTTTTTAATTATTATTAAAAAGAATTAGCGGAGGGGAAACATGGGGAAGGGAAAGGTCCTTTCTCGAGCCAAACCTGGCACGGGTGAGGGAAAAACAACAACCCCAACCCGCTCACCCCGAGGGCCCGAGAGCATAAAGGATGCTAGGGGGAGAGCTTTTCTGTCGGGCTCGGCCGCCCCAAGGGTCCGGGGCTTCGGCCTGAGGCGGGCGGCAGCCGCCCCCTTCGCTCCGGGGTCCGGCCGCCGAGCGGCCCTGCACCGAGATGCCTCCCAGTCCCCGCTTCCCCGCCTCTGTCCCCCCCAGCCCCCTCCCAGGGCTGACCGTCATCGCGCGGGACACCGGCCGGAGCAAACACCGGCCTCGGGAGAGCCAACGGAAAATACCTGAGTCCCGGGGATCGTGCCGGCGGCGACTGAAGCAGGAGGGACCAGAAACAAGAGAGACCGGGGCGGGAGCCACACTCGCCTCCAGTCAAACGCCGACGGACACACACGAGTAGGGCGGGTGACTTCCGCCCGAAGCCCCGCCGCCCCGAGATTGAGCCGCATCACTTCCGCCCATGCACGGGCCTTCATCCCTCTCTCTTTCCCTCCCCTAGCAATCATTCGCGGCTGGTTTCTTCAGGCCTCTTTCGGGGGGAGGGGGGAGTACTTCTTGGAGACCACATATCCCAGAGTTCTCCCTTCCCCTTAAGGGGTTTCATTCCGGGTCAAGAGATCGCACGCCGGCTAGTCACCATGGAAGCGGTCGGTTTGGTCACGTGGTGCCCTTGGTTACGCCTGGTGCCAGCGGCTGAGTCTGGGGCCCCGCAGCGGGGGCCATTTTGTTGAGGGCTGCCTCCTATAGCCGGGGGCGGCTTGGAGCGCTCTGCTCCTGTGGGGCCGTGGCGCCAGCGGCAGAAGAAGAGGAGGAGGAGGAGGAGGAGGAGGAGGAGGAGGAGGAGGAAGGGGAGAAGGAAGAAGAGAAGGAGGGAATCTTTCTCGGCCCCGGCTTCGGCAGTTGCTTTTCCCCTTCTATAGCTCTGGAGCCTGGAGAAGAAAAGGGAGGGGAGGGCTCCGCCGAGCCCCTAGGAGACTGCGATGGTTCCCCGCTGCCGCAGCTTGCTGACGCCTCTCCATGGCGTCCGCGCCCCCGGTGCTGCTCCTGCCGCAGGCCCCGTTCCTAGCCCCCAGCGCCCATCGGCCCCGGAGCTGCTGCCGCCTTTCCACCCCAGAGACTGATGAGGACCGACCTCGGCGGACGATGAGAGAGGAGAAAAGCTACTGCTGCCGGGGAGCCGCCGGTGACCAGGGCTCGTGCCCCGCGGCCCCGCCGGCCCTGTCTCCCACCACGACCGCGCTCTTTCTCCCAGCGGAGGAAGCTGTCACGAGTGGCTGGTCCAGGGCCGGAGGGAGCCTGCCTGGAGGGGAGGAAGAGGAGACCCGGCTGCTGCAGCTCCTCCGCACGGCGCCGGAGCCGTCCGAGGCCTTCCAGGCTCTGCAGGCTGCCCTGCCCCGGCGGGGCGGGCGCCTCGGTTTCCCGAGACGGAAGGAAGCGCTCTACCGGGCTCTGGGCCGGGTGCTGGTGGAGGGGGCCCTGGAGGAGAAGCGACTTTGCCTGCAGCTTCTCTCCGACGTGCTCCGGGGTCAGGGGGAGGTGGGCCAGCTGGAAGAGGCCTTCAGCCTGGCTCTTCTGCCGCAGCTCGTGGTCTCCCTGAGAGAGGAGAACCCGGCCTTGAGGAAGGACGCGCTGCAGATCCTGCACCAGTGTTTGAAGCGGAGCCCCGGGCAGGTGCTGCAGGTGCTCATTCAGCGAGGCCTGGAGAGCGCCGATGCCCGGCTCCGGGCTTCCACTGCGCTCCTGCTCCCTATTTTGCTCACTCCCCCGGATCTGTTCGGCCTGGATCTCACCGAGATCACGCTGTCCCTGGCCCGCAAGCTTGGGGAACAGGAGGAAGAAGAAGAGGCCGAGATAGCTTTTTCTGCGCTGCAGCAAATAGGGGAGCACCTGGGCCAAGACCGGTTTCAGTCTTACATCTCTCGCCTGCCCTCAGCCCTGAGGAGACACTACAATCGTCGTATAGAGTCCCAGTTTGGGGGTCAGGTTCCTCATTATTTGGAACTTGAAGCTTCTGAGTTTCCTGAAGATCCCCTCCCCTGCCCGGCAACACCTTCCAGTAGCCACCTCAAGTTTGGTGTTGTTCCCCAAGAGCTGCATTCCAGGTTGCTAGATCAGGAGGACTATAAGAGTCGGACTCAAGCTGTGGAGGAACTGAAGCTGGTGCTGGGAAGGTTTAGCCCTGTCTCCACTCCTCACTCTAGTCTTGTAGGTTTCATTAGCTTATTGTATAACTTGTTAGATGATTCTAACTTCAAAGTGGTTCACGGCACGCTTCAGGTACTGCACCTGTTGGTGACCCGCCTTGGGGGACAGGTACAGCAATTCTTGGGACCAGTCATCGCTGCCACGGTCAAAGTACTAGCAGACAACAAGTTGGTGATCAAGCAAGAATACATGAACATTTTCCTTAAGCTGATGAAGGAAGTGGACCTCAGCAGGTGCTGTGTTTATTGCTGGAACATCTCAAACATAAGCATTCCAGAGTGAGAGAAGAGGTGGTGAATATAAGCATCTTGCTCCTTGCTGACCTATCCAAGTGAGGATTTTGACTTGCCCAAACTGGCTTTTGGTCTTGCCCCAGCTCTAGTGGATAGTAAGCGTAGGGTGCGCCAAGCTGCTCTGGAGGCCTTTGCCGTGTTGGCATCTTCAATGGGCTCAGGTAAAACCAGTGTACTTTTCAGAGCTGTTGATGCTGTTGAACTTCAAGATAATGGAGATGGAGTGATGAATGCTGTGCAAGCCAGATTAGCTAGGAAAACTCTTCCAAAGCTAACAGAACAGGGATTTGTGGAGTATGCTGTACTCATGCCATCTTCTGCCCAGGGCAGATCAACCCAGTTGCCCCATGGAGCAGATACAGACTGGCTTCTGGCAGGTAACAGAACTCAGAGTGCACACTGTCATTGTGGTGACCGTTCAAGGGATAGTATACAGATGTATGGCTCTTATAGTCCATCTGCTGATCAGACTATCTGTACTCGAAGGGTGTTAAGTGCAGGAAAAGGAAAAAATAAATTACCATGGGAAAATGACCAACCTGGAGGCATGGGAGAAAACCGGACATCCCATTCAAAGGAAATAGAGCAGGTATGCATTTTCTGTAATTAGCATGGGTTGGGGCAGTGGAAGTACCATTCTTTCTCTTTAATGAAAGATATTTTTATGTGTCAGATATCCCCATGGAGGTGATTTATTCCAAAAAGATTTGTGCTAAATGTTCACAAGAGCGTTCAATCCTAGTGGAACAAATTACACAGGTCTTATATGATGGATTTGATTCAGAGGCGAGATAGTGTACTGGAAGGAGCATCAGGTTGCGAGTCAGGATCTTCTGATTCTATTCCCTGACTCCTGGCTCTGCTGCTACCCTGATTATCTGTTAGGACTTGCTGGGGCAAGTCACTTAACCTCTCTAGGGAGGATCAAATGAGATGTATGTATTGACTTAGTAATTGGCAAGCACTGTTAAATGTAAATAATCAAGAATCATTTGTTAATAATAGCTAGCATTTATGTAGCTTTTCAAGATTTGCAAAGAACTTTAAAACTACTATCTTACTTGATTTTCATAATAACTCTGGGAGGTGGTTATTACTATTATTCCCATGTTGCAGAGGAGGAACCTGAGGCAGACAGGTTAAATGGCTTGCCTGGGATCACACAAACATGTTAGTGTCTGAGACCGAGTTTGCATTTAGGTTTTCCTTGAGTCCAGGCACAGAATTATATACGCTGCACCACCTAGTTGTCCCATAGTATTAAGCCCTTACTGTGCACTAAAGTACTGTGCTGGGCTAAGTTAAACAGGCAGAGACAAAAATAAATCAAGCTTTGCCCTTAAGGATCTTATAGCACAATGAGGGAGACGGCATGTGTATGGCTATAAACAGAGCAGACAGGATAACCTTGAATGAGAAGGCACTGGCAGCCCTGAAGACCAGAAGATGCCTCCTGTAAGGGGTGGTACTTGAGCTGAGCGTTGAAGGAAACTAGGGATTTTAAGATGTAAAGGTGAGAAGGAAACATGTTCTGGGCATGGGGATCAGTCAGTGCAAAGACATGGACATGGGAGATGGAGAGAGCATCAGATGAAGAATAGCAGGCTGGCAGTAGAGGGGAGTAATGTGTAAGAAGACCGGAGAGGTAGGAGGGGTCAGGTTGTAAAGAGCTGTTGGTATACACCAACAGAAAAAGTTTATAGTAGATGATTATAAAGGTAAAATAAGAAGCCTGCACTAGATAATCTTGTAAGATCAACTTGTCAAGTAATGACAATGTATAGAGTGGTTGGTATTTAAAGTCTTGTTTTATCTGTAGCAGCAGTCGAACCTTTAGTCCTTCTGCCACCAGGTAGTGGGGTACAGTAGAGAGATCACTGAGCCTGTAGTCAGTAAACTTGAACTCTACTAGTCCTGATTCTGGGGTCTCAAGTGAATCACTTACCCTCTGAAGTCCAGTTTTCTGTAAAATAGGGATAGTACTACCTTACCTACCTGGATCTGATGGGTCTTTGTGCTAAATATTTCAACCAAAGAGGTCCCCTCTACAGCATAGATATTTTTCTATAAATTCACATTGTACAACAGCTGTTTCAAAGCCAAAATATTTATATAGTGTTTTAAGGTTTGCAAAGCATTTTACAAATATTACCTCATTTGATTCTCACAACAACACTGGGAGGTAGTTGCTATTATTATACCCATTTTATAGATAAGGAAACTGAGGCAGACAGAAGTTAAATGACTTGTCTAGGGACACACAACTAGTATGTGTCTGAGGCTGGATTAGAAGTCTGGTCTTCCTGAGTCCAGGCCCAGAACGCTGTCTACTATGCCATTCAGCTGCTTCACCTGGTTGCCCCATCATATTAAGCCCTTACTGTGCCTTTCTCGAAGTCACAAACTGCCCCTTCTCCCTTCATTCTCAGCATATAACTTTTTACCTACTTATTGAGAAGATTGAGGCTATCTATTGGAAAGTGCCTAATTCCTCCACTTCCTATTCCAGCTTCATCCTTCTGTTGAAGTTCAGGGAACCATATGTTAAGGTTTAAGGGTGCTGGGATCCCAAAATAGCAACATACAGGTGCTGTCTAAATGAATTCGACCCAGGCCTTCTTTCAGCCAAAGACAGGGTTTATTAAAGCTCGTCTATATTGGCCATACTCTTAAAGAATCTGAACATTTGTGAGCTGTTGGCTAGATTTTAAGAATCTGAGCATCTTAATGGAGATAAGATGAACCTTATATACAGAAAGACTGTGGGAAGGATCTAAAGAGTGACCAAGTAGATTGGGGTGACTGTGAGGAGGGGTATAGGGAGGATCTTGATGGGAGTGACTATCTAGAATGGAGTCTAGATAAGATCAGGGATGGGAGGTAGGGGAACCCCTCTCCCCTTAGGAAGGTAACAGACAATGAAGGTTGGGCTAGGTCAGAGGTGACAGAATTGGGAGATTGGGTATAGCCACAATGAAAGGCCAGTTGAGTGGATTATAGCCTCAGGCAAATGCTAGAGACTTCCTTGATCTAGTGGGAGTTCAAGGAGAGTCCCAGGTGGGATTTTCTGTTGCCTGTATACAAATGGGACCCAAATTCTTTTTGGGGCAAGGGACAAAGGTCTTGGCTTTGGCCCTTACCCCGTCTTAGAAGAGGTATTATTCAGTCTCAGATAAAGCTAATCCCTCCACCTCCATCCTCAGACCTATCTTCTCTTTTTTTCTCCATTAAATTGCACATCTTCTTTCACTAATGCATCTTGAACTGTACTTCTGCTGAGTCTTTCAACTTAAGAACATGCTGAGAGGGGCAGCTTGATGGCGCAGTGTATAGAGCACCGGCCCTGAAGTCAGGAGGACCTGAGTTCAAATCTGGCCTAAGACCAAACACTTGACACTTACTAACTGTGTGACCCTGGGCAAGTCACTTAACCCCAATTGCCTTAAAAAAAATGCTGAGATCTGTACTCCCCTAAAGCTGCCATCCTACTGTTCCATTCTCTCAAGCTTTCATATTCTCTTCTCCCTCTTGCTGTCAAACTGGTAGAAATAATAGTCTACACTTGCTTTTTCTACTGCCTCATCAACCACTCATTTGCTCTTTTATTGGGTTTCCTTTCCTACCATTCTATTGAAACAACTCTCTCCAAAGTTTCTTCCATATTAGACCAATCAACTACTTTTCTGTGCAAACTTACCCTTCCTGACCTACCTTAGTGGCCTTTGATTATAGACTAGCCATCCCCCCCTTGATAACCTGTCTCTTAGCTTCTGTCACACTATATTATTATGACTTTCCTCCTACCTCTCTCACTGCACCATTTTTTGTCTCTTATTGGCTTATCATATTGCTCCTACATCTTAAATATTAGGAAAGGATTTTGTAACCTGTGAAATGTACTATATAAAAATGAGCTATTAATTTTTTCATTTACTAATCATGCCTAGAATTTTAAAAAATGGTTATGAATTAGCTCACATAACTTTAGTTACCAGCATCATAACTGATGCGTAGAACTTTAAGGTTTGTAAAGCACTTGTACACAGATTCTCATTCGATCTTCACAACTATACCATAAGGCAAGCACATGGCTCTCCTTTGGAGTCATTGCTGAAAACATCTCCATCATTTGATTTTTTTTTCACCCATCTACAGCTTGATCAGAGGTGTTTTTATACTCTGTGTAAGTCTGACAATACATTCTTTGGTTTTGTCCCAAGGAAATTATAAATTTCTTCATTATCTTTTCTCTAAATAAAAGTTACACAATTTTAGAGTCAGATGTGTGTCAGACCTTCTCTATATCAAAAAACTGAAAACATTGAAATTACTAAATTCTCCTCAAGTGGTTGATTTCCCATAAGTTGAAAACCCAACTGCATATGGAACCATATTAGTATGCTCTAGGTGTAGACCTTATACTCCACTGTAGGGAAGATATGTTAACAGATAATTCTAGTAATTTTGAAAAGAAATCTTGTTTCCTTTGCTAAAAAACTAATGCTCCCCTAGAGCATTGGCTTTGTCTAACGTTCTTCCCCTTCCTTCTTGGAAAGCTATTAAATCAGTGAGTATAATATAGAACATCCTCTGATCTAAGTTAAATGATCCAAAGTTAAGTTTAGCTTTGGTTCTATAAGGTTTCCTTTCAGCAAGATAAGACTCAAATAAAGTTATTTCTAGATATTTCTTACAGTGTGGAAAAGTAACACTTGCTTTCTAATATACCCTTAACCGGGAAACATATTTTGTAATTTTATAATCTGTTTAGACATTTTTTTAATTCATTGTGAAGTGTGTGAAACAAAAATGATTCCCTGGGAGAAGATTGCAATGAAACTTCAAAGATTTTTTAACTATCTTTAGATAGTTTAGAAATTATAGGATCAGTTTATTTCTAATCATTCCTAAAACTTAAAATCCCCAAAATGTGATGGTTATAGATTGTCAGAAAATTTTAAATTATTAGTATCATCATCACAACAGATGTGTGTGTGTGCATGTGTGTATGTGTGTATGTACACACATACATAGATACATACATCTGTGTTTATCTATACAGGTAAATATGTGTAAATATATCTGTGTCTTTAAGGTAAAATCCTTGCTTATTGTACATCATTTCACTTGATCCTTATAACAGTCCTGTGAGTTAAATAATACTTCCTTATCATAATTATTCTTGCTACCATTTTTAATCATCCTGAGAACAGCACACAAATTTAAAAGTTTGTACCCTTTCATGAAAGAATGAAACATACAAAGTCTGTCTTTTTGAGCAAATTTCAACAGTTATGGTTTTCACATTTATAGTTTGTAGCATAAACATATTATGGTAAGCTTTACATTCCTTTCATTGAATAGCCAAGCTAGGGGTATTCAAGAGAGGAGGTCCAGGGATTTAAGAGAATATAGACTTAATTGATTCACCAAGGATTCAAGATGGAGAGGAGAGGAGAGAGTGGCTAATACAGTGGAGATGACCTGGGAGAGAATTGAGGTCTGAAGAGATTGGAGGTCACAATGTGGAAAAAGAGTAGGGTTTTGTTAGGAAAGGTAGAAGGAAAAATGAAGAGCCAGTGGACTATG